TTCGACCCAGATCTGTCTCACTCTGAAGCTTCGCTCTTCAGCCATTCTGGGGAGGTTTGGTGGGGTCGGGGGCGGGCAGGGGATGCTGGCTGGAGTGGCTAGGTCTCTGCTGCCCCTTGAGGACCAGGCTCTCAGGACAGTTGGAGTGGTCCTTCCATTGCTGAAGGACGGCTCCAGGCTGGCAGAGCCCGGGTGGGAGGAGGCCTGTTTTTGATTCTTTGATGCTCACAATTTGTGGACCCCTGGGGAGTGCCTGAGTCATCGCTGAGCTGGCAAACATATTTAGCTCCTTTCATCGTCTCTAATAAATCAGTTTCTCCAGGTCTCTCATACCTGCGGCTCGACTCCTGGCTGCCTGCCCCCCATTTCCATCTGGGCGCAGGGTCCCAGGGCCAGCTCTGCGCTTCCAGGCCAGAAGCACTCCGACTTCCCAGGCACTGGGCAGGGGTCCCCCTTGCCTCCTCCTGCTCCACCCCAGGCCGTCCGGTGCCAAGCTTATTCCCCCTCGTTCTGTGATGGCCTAGTTCAGCAGCCACGTTACTGGATCCCCAGCCAGAGCTTCATGACAAGGGGCACGGTGGCCTTGGAGATGCAAGGGACTACAGCATTGTGCACACAGCTCAGCCGCTGGCAGGGCCCAGCTCCCCTCAACCTTTCTTCCTCTTGCTTTGGGGGCTCAAGGGAGTTCCAGAAATACATTGCCTTATCAAGCATCCTTGTTTTGGCTCCTCCTGGCTGGAAGAGCCAGGCCTCCGTTTATCTTACCTTTCACGGGCACCTCTGCCAAGAAGCCTACCCAGATCTACGACCCCCCAACCCCCCCTGAATCTTTCCTCCTCCAGTGGTCCAGCCTGTTTTGTATCTCCATAGCATGTACCTAGTTTGCCTTGTGATGGATAATAATAGTAGCATGTAACCCTGAGTAGGTACTCAACACTGTTCTAAGTATTTTGCATATATTCTATCATTACCATTTTATAGATGGGAAATCTGAGGCTCAGAATGCTTAGGAAACTTGCTTAAGACACAGGGGGGAGTCAGGCCTTGAACCCAGGGCCTCCGGATGGCCTCACTACTGCCCCCTGTGGCCTATTACAGTACGTGGCTTTTGTGGCACCTTCTCACTTGCCACCCACCCTGCCACACACAACAGTCTCAATTCATCCCAGGGCAGGGGCTGCCTGGTACCCATGTCTGAGACTCCCTTGCACAGGGAAGTCCCCGCTAAAGGTTTGTGTCCTAGAACTCACCTGTCAGAACCCTTCAAGGAGGAAGATCACATCTAGAGAGGGTAAGCTACTAGTTCAGGGTCCCATAGCCAGAAAGCCAGAGCCCAGGGTATCCCGACTCCTAGGCTGAGCAGGGCTGACTGTGCCTGGCATGAGGGGAGAGGGGAGGCCCATGCTTATCTGTGCCCATGGATGTCTGGGCCTGCTCAAGCCCGCAGGTCCTAGTCGACCAGGTGCATCCGTCTCCAGGAGGCCCAGTTCCAGGTTCTACTCTGGGCTGAGGCCTCATCCCTGAAAGGGGCAGCCGATCCCATCTCCGGTCTGGCTGTGTCGTGGAACCTCTCATCCACGGGTGGTGGGAGCCCCCTGCTGCCCAGAGTGAAGAGTGGCAGAAGGGTGGGAAGGTGGGCAGAGGCCACGGGAGCAGAGGAGTTCCTGGGCCAGCAAGTCAGAGCTGGATCAGACTGCGATGTGGCCCTGCCTGCCTCTCTAGCCACGCACCACCCCCACCCCGACCCCGGCCCGGGCCCGGCACCACCGTTCCCACAGTTCCCTGCGCCTCCAGATATTTGCATCTCCTGATGTGGAGCTCCTGAGGGCCTTTTCAGTTGACTTCAGTCTAACCAAGAATTATTGTGCAACCTCCTGTGTGCCAGGCACCGAGCAGTGACAGTCTGGCGTGTGAGGAATTTGCAGTCAGTGTGTTTGTGGTGGGGAGAAGCAGACGTGAGTGAGCTCACTGCAATATCAAATGTGTGTCCTTTCTCCCACCTGATTGCCAACACTCAAGCACAGCTCCTTTGTGAAGCCCCTTGGATTGCTTCTCCGGCCAGCCCAGCCCAGCCCTCCACCAGCCCCTGTGCTCCACTCAATATAACCTGCAAGTGTTGGGCCTGGGCAGTCACTGCTCGTTTGCACCTGTCTTCCCCAGCAGACTGAGCTCCCTCTGAGGGCAAGGGATTTGCCTTGATCATCTTTGGACCTCTGGTTCTGTGTGTGGAACTCGGTACATAGTAGGTGCTCCATAAGCCTGGGCCAGATGAAAGCATGTTGATCAGTCCAACACCTTAAGGTCTTCAAGGAGGGACTCAACGGTGGAATTTCAGGCAGGGGGCTGGGTTAAGGTGTAGGGGCCACCTCAGTGCCTTACACATCCGAGGGTGCTGCCTAGAGTCCTAGAATTCAGAACCAGCAAAATGTAAGCTCCATGTGAACAGGGATTCTGTCTTGTCCACTTAATAAACATTGTGGAAAGTACAAATAAAGATGACCAAATTCAAGCCCCTCTGTAACACCCCAACTGATCATTGGAGCCAGTCTGTACTTGCATCCTTCTGCAGACAGGGAGCTTATTGCCTATCTCCTGAGCAGCATTCTTTCTCTCTTTAGACAGCGCAGCCTATTGGAAAGTTCTTTTGCTTTGCCCCGGCCTTGGCAGAGCCAGTGCACTCCTGCCCGTGCTCCGAGGGACCCCTGACACAAACCCAGCCCCTGGAGATCTGCCCAGTGTGGCAGCTCCAGTGCCCAGAGGATGAGGGTCCAGGGTCCTTGGAGTGTCCACTCTTCCCTGTCTGGCCCTCCTGCACTCTGGCTGGGAAAGGGATGGTGAAGGGGCAGCGTGGGCTCAAGGATGGGAGATGTAGTCACAGGCAGGACAGAGCCCCACTCACGAGCTGAATCATGACCTTTATTCTCTATTCTGAGTGATTCCCAGAACAGTCACTCATGCCCAGAAAATCCCCCATTCCACCCTCTCGGTGATGGGGGGGGGGGGAAGC